GTCTGGAATTGCGTACCACTAACAATTTCTGGCTGCTTGAGCTAAAAGATCGATTGTCACAACTAATGGTCGATCATATTGTTCTCAAAAATGAATACCGTTACCGTTGATCGATTGGAACGATAACTTTTTTACCGTTGTGTTTAGTCACGAAGTCAGGTCACATTGTTAACCTAGGTTCTGAAAAAAACCGCGTGCGCTTACCATCATCAGTTCATAATAAAAACAAAAAGCAAGATGATACCAATACCCTGGTGTTCACGTTGTGTTGGCTTTTGAAAACGATTTAACCCTTAAACAATCAAAATGACGAAGCCAGGTACGCCCCGCGGTTTTCCCATTTTCAATGAATTCGTTTCATGTTCATCTTGTTGAACGCTTAAACCGGAATTCTTGAAAAGAACTTCAATGGACAAGGTTTGCGTATTTATTGATCAATAATCTTTCACTTTGGGAACATATAAACATTGTTCACTGGTACTGGTTCTCGACTAATTTTCATCACTTTCACCGTGAAGGTCCAACCGTGAAGCGTGTGAATCGATCATCCCTCGGAGGTGATAGCCATCTATCCGGTTATTGGACTCAATATCACACACATCTCTTGTCCATATGTTCATTCGGTCAAAGATAAAAGTTTTCACCGACTGCTTAATCAAGACAGACTATGACCGTGTCTCCCATCCCCGCATCAACGCATACGTTAAAAAAGTATCAAAAATTATCATTTTACAAGTGGAGCGTTCCAGCTTGAAATAATGGATGGTGCTGTGGTTCTTCTTCAAGAAAGCTATCCGTCAATGTTGCGACCAGCGTCGATATCTTACCTGCCACACTAGTACTTCAGTCTGATTGCTTCGATTGATCGCTGGAGGCGGGCGTAATGAAGTGTTACCGTTATAGCTTGAAGTCAATGCATCCGTGCCTTTATCAACTCCACCATTTCTACCGACACCGTGTGAAGACGACTCGGTTAATGGCCTCAGTGCCAAAAGTCGTATGAGCCAATTGCCTTGGTTTATTGCTGCACAGTGTGGGAACGATAGCGTTACCGGGCATTGTAGCTTCAGGTCCGCGGGGCCGAACTGAACCACAGGGCTGAGTAAGGTTTGATGATCTGTCAATGAAAGGAAGTTTAGTTGATTTTAGTCAAACGCACAGAACAGGAACGTTAAATAGGAAATTACGAAAAATGTAGAGCCTCCAGATATCAGAATGTTTCATCCTGTACATAATATGGCTTAAGCACCATACGCTTATCTAATTCCAGTAAAGAGATGCAGGATAAATAAATTGAAAATAAAAATAATATTGGTTTGACTGGCGATCGTAAATATTTAATCCTCACACACAACCCTCCGTTCGTGGAGTTAGCTCAGGTTTTTTTCTCATCAGAGCACATCAGCGGTGTATATTCAACCGGCATCTAGACCCCACTCCAGGGCTCACCACATTTTCCTAATCAAGTTTGTTCGGATGTCATCTTTAATGACAATCAGTAAGTTTGAATCTCAACAGCAGCAAGGCAGACAGTGAACCATCCATCAACTTCAATCGCAATCGACCCGTTCAATTAGGTCTCTCATGTATATGCTCTTCCTGTGGAGAAAAAAATATACATCAGACAATGCTTGTGTAAAGCTCTATCTACAACAACCCATTCGTACAAATAAGCACATTTCATTGACTGCAACAGGGCATCAATAAAAGATCCATTCAAACTTTCGCTCACATAGAACTTCTGTATTTGGTAAGATAACC